AACCTGGCCTCCGGCCTCTCCTCTCTGGGGGCCACCAGGCCTGCCCTGCCCGCCACCACACACAGCAGGACTTCGTCTTCCTCCTTAGAAAGGGGGGGAAAACGGCTTTCAAGCAGGCAATTTACCATTCCAGACACAATCTTTCAAAGAGAAACAAAAAGTCTCCCTGTCTGAGGCAGACCGCTTAGGCGTGTGTGTAATAAGATGCTAATACAATTTAATGATATTTCGGCTGGAAAACCTGTCCTCAGAGCCTCCTTGTGTCGGGAAGGCCAGACATTCAGAAAACAAGAGCTGCACACTCTTAAACCAGCTTTAAACGGGGGTCAGAGCCCCAGTCTTTCCTATCTCTCATTAACTTTAATGCCTTCTGAGGGACAGTAATTGCCATTACAAAAAATGATTTTGTACACACAGATCCTCAAACTTGCTTCTCCAAGCAGAGGGGAGCCTAAACCCTCCTCCAATGCTCATCACTGCCCACTTGCAATTCCAAGTGTCCCTGAGGGCACCCAACTCCCTGGAACACGCTGCCCACACCGACCCTCCAAACCCAGTTCTGGGGACATACCTAGGGGATCCTGGAAGAATGAAAAGGGGCTTTGTCTACTTTGTCCTTCGGCACCTTCTCACCCTACCCTCCACCTCAGAGGGCAATGCTCAGTCCACTTGGTCCCACAGATGGCTGCCCATTGGCAACTGCAGGGTCCTTCTCGTCCCTTCTTCAGAGAAGGGAGCTGGCTCTCTGGCCTAGCCTAAAGGGGAGAGATCAAAGGTCAAAGCTGCATTTGGGCCCTCTCCAGATCATTGATAATAATAGTAAAAATGGCTAATGCTAATCAAGTGCTTACCACATGCCTGGCTGTGGGTTTAATCTTCTTTATGCAATATATTGCTTAATCCATACACCAATCATGGGATACAGACTGTTACTAACCCTACTTACAGATGAAGAAAGTGAGGCACAGAGCACTGTTACAGTTGGTGACTGCATAGCTAGCATTCGAACCCAGGCTCTCTGACTCCAGGTGGTATACCATGCGCCCCCCCCCCCACCCCCCGGGCTAACCTGCACAGGCCTACAACCCCAGAGCGTGGCTGAAGTACTCCAGATTCCTATGGGTTATTTGAGAACCTTCCTGGGTTCCTAAACTTTAAGCCACAGGGTCAGGATCCTATGTGGATCTGCACAAAGTAGGCCAGGAATACCTCCTCACAACCTGGTCTTTCCTTGGAGCACCTAAACACAGAACTAACTGTAAGGCCTGCAAAGAGTCTGGTGGATGAGCTGTCAAGAACTTGCACTGGAAGTCACTGAACTGGGTCTTGGGTGTAAGACAGCTACCTTCCTGTTACCTGGAACCCCGGTTAACTAGAGCACCCTGCTCCCCGCTGTCCCCCCACCCCCGCCCCCGTCAAGGATGTGGTAGTCAGTGTCGGAGATCTACCCTCAAGACTCCAGGGTACATCTGGGGGCTGGGACCAGCAGTCCCACCTCACCTGTCAATGAAAGGCAAGTGGAAGCTCTCTTGGAATAATGTTACAGGCCATTTAGCCATGAAATTTAGGGAAAGAAAAAGCACGTTGGATGGGAAATGTTCTGGAAACATTTGCTGCATCCTGAGTCCAAACAACTTTGTCCTTAAACACTTCATCTCCAAAAGTGCTGGAGAGACCTTTGGCCAAACAGTTTCAAAACCAATATTCACTGCAAGTCCTGCTGCCTGGGGCGAGGACTTCCCTCTGCGAGGCATTTGCTGTAGAACCAAATGCTTTTCCACTCCAAACAACAGCCAACAGCACTTGGGACAACTGAGAGGGCTCCAGATCAAACAAACATCCCTTTTTTTTCCCCTACCATGCAAACTTTCTCAATAAATTATTCGCCCACTTCGGATCAAAGCCTGTTTTGCAGCCTGTGACCTAAAAAGCAAATAGCATCTCTTAAACATGAAAGCCCTCCTCCCTGCCTGGGTCGGCTTTATTACTCATTCCTTCCCCTTACAGTTATTCTGTTGTTATTTTCCTCCTCTGCTTGTTAGATCGCTTTGCAAGTCCCAACCCGCCTGAGGAAGAAGAGATGGGAGGGATGGTGCGTTCACTTGGGGCCCTAAGGTGAGAGAGGAAGTCAGGGTAGGGGAGAAGCCAGCACCCTGGGAACCCAGGAAACAGGGCCAGGCCCGGTTGGCAGCTCCTTGCATGGCCCTTTTGCCAAATGTCCTACTGGGAATTTTACCAGTGAAGGGAGGGAGTCAATGCCACCGTGAGAGGAGGGACCAGGCGGCGGACCCGGGACCCTGATTCAGTTGCAAACGTTAAGGGGACATCCTGACAGCTAGTTTGGGCTCAAAACTCAGGGCTCCTCCCCCTTCCAACAAAGGCAAGGCGGCAAGCCAGCCGTGCCCTCTTAGTCTCTCCCCAATCCCTTTAGCGCCACTGTGAGCACAAACAAGATGCCTCCTGATGACCCCTACAAACTCAGCCTCTGGGTAAAACTTTATGTCCCGCAGTAGATGAGCGAGGGTTGCTAAAAGCGGGAGCAAGGTTTGGAAATCTGCAGAGACCACAGTCGCCGGGTGCACCGTGCCCTTGGCTCAGGGCAAGGGGAAACACTGCCCTTCCCGCCCCCACCAACCCTGGCATAAGACCTGCAGCCAAGGTGGTTTAAAAAAAAAAAAAAAAAAAGCGTCCCGGCCCGCGGCGATGGCTACGGGGTTTGGGGGGGGGGGGCGCGCGCCCCCCGCCGCCCCCGGGCGGCGGTCCGCGGGACCGCAGGCTGGAGGCGCGCCGGCGTGATTCCGACCGCGGGAGCCGGGAGGAGGAGCCGGAGGTGGCTGCGGGGGGCTCTGGCCCAGGCAAAGGAAGGGCAAGGGGCGGTTCGGGCCGGGGACTGCGGACTTGACGTCCAGGGCGGGGGAGAGGTCTTTAGGTGAAGCGGGTAAGAGGAGCCGAGCCTCTTAGGAAGTGGGCAGCTCTGTGCGGGGGGGGGGGGGGGAGACTGGGGGTGTGTGTGGGGGGGGTGTCCTGGGCCTCTGGAAGCCACCGCGAAGCCTTCCTCCCTGTTTCGCAGACATCCCCACCTTCTGATGTAACAGCTACGAATCGCGAGGCTGACCTCTCATCCTTTGGCCTGGAGATGAGAGTGTCTCAGGCCCAGTGATAGGCGGGAAGGGACCGGAGGGAGCCACAAGTCTGCACCCAGGCGGGGAGGAAGCGGGCGGGAGCCGCTCCGCAGGCGCAGGCGAGTGGGTGGGAAGGAGGGAGGGAGAGAGGGAGAGAGGGAGGAAGGAGGTGAGGCCGGGAAGATGCCACTGCCGGGGGCGGGGCGGGGCCCGGGATCCGGGAGAGGGACTGCAGCGGTGTTTGGTGGGGGCTGGGGCTGCAATGTCACTTATTTGAGGGTCAGGTGTGTATGTCCCAGGCTGGGACTGCCACTTGCTTACATCTTCCCGGTACCACCCAGGGCGCAGGGACCGAGGCGGAGGGCAGGGGACTGCAGTACCGTCCCCGAAGCGGGACGCGAACCGGCAGAGTTGGGAGAAGGTAAACAAGGGCCACGCCCCCTGCCGTCGCCCCGCGGGCGCGCACCCGCCGCTCCGGCCGCAGCCGGTACATTTCCACTCTCCCAGCGCTTCTCCCCCGCCGGACTCCCGCGCAGCCCCTGAGGGGAGACTGCCCCCGACCCCAGCCCGCGCCCGGTACGCCGGAACTGCACACCCGGCATACTCACCTGGAAAGGGTGTCCCCCGCCCCTCCAAAACACTGTTTAATTTGTGCAGAGCCTCCGCGCCGGGGAGCTGAGCATGCTGCCCCCGCGTGCAGCGCCCGCGTGCACCCAGCCCGGAGAGGGGGCGACAGGGCGGAGGCGGTGGCCCCCGGAAGGTGTCTGGGACCGGACCGGCTGCACGTGAGCCCAGCGCGGAGTCATGTGCACCGGCTCAGCCCGGTTCGGCGGCCGGACGTGCTGCGTATCAACAAAATGAAACTCAGGGCGACAGGAGGGCAGATAGCTCTGGGTCCTCCGAACCCCCGTCTCCGGCAGAACGACCTCCCCTCCGCTGCGGTCTCCCGCCGCAGCCCCTCCGCGCGGCCGGAGCCCGCGGGGCAAGTTGCAGCCCTGGCGCGCCCCCGCCCGCCCGCGCCCCCTCACCGGCCCGGGGGCGCTTTGCCGCAGTCATTAATAAAGAAGGTCGCCAAGCTCACCCTTCCAAAAGTTGTTGTTGCATGCGCCCCTCTCAGCCTCCCCGCAATGTACTCTTTAAAACATGACTGACCAACATGCGCAATCTCTCTCCCTGGTGCTGTGCATCCCCCCCCCCCCCCCCCCCCCGCGCCCTGGCTTCCTAGAACAGGCAGCCAGCAGGAGAGAGAGGGAGCGAGCGAGCAAGAGAGAGAGCGCGAGCGAGGGAGCGAGGAGCGCTGGCAGATCTGTTGCAAAAACATAAAATAACGCCGTGGAGATGCGCAGGGCCCATCGCTGGGGGCAGGATCTTACCTTCCTCCGCGGTGCCCTTCTGAGGGGCGCTGCCCTGGACTACGCGCCGCGGCGGGGGCCGGCGCTGGAAGGATGCTCCCGAAACCCGGAGCTCCTGGGGCCGGCGCGGGCGGGCGGGGGGCGCGCATCCATCCGGGGTCGCGGCGAGGGAGGCTGCCGGGCCCTCGGCGTCCCCGGCCCCGCACCCCTGCTGGGGACGGTCAGCCCGCTGGACGTAAGCCCTTGCCGCTAGGAATGGGCACAAAGTAACTCCATGGACGCTACTCACCCCCCTCCCAAAAAAATAGCCTCCAACTGCGATGGCCGCGGTCGGCACCATTCACCAATCCCCCTGTGTATGTTTCTGTTTCTTTTTAAACCAAGACTTCCTTGTGATCTCTTTAGAAAAAAAAATGTGTTGGGGTGGGGGTGGGGTGGGGGCGGGCGGGAGGAGCGAGGGAGGGGGAGTAGCCACTTTTTTCTTATTCACTCGGATCTCCACTCCTGACACCCCCCCCCCCGTCTCCCCCCCCACCCCCCGCCCGGGTGTTTGGCTCGGGCAGCGGGGCCAGGTGGGGGGGGGGGCCGGGGGGGGGGGGGGGGGGGGAGCGGGGAGGGTGCTCTGCCCGGCTGCCCGTCTGCCTGCACCTCGGGCCCAAACTCCCCATGGGCTCTGGGGCGCCCCCAGCCCGCCCTGTCCCCAGGGCCGGGCCCGAGCGGCGGCTGCGCCCGTGCAAGTCCCATCAGGTCTGCTCACACTTCACACACTCACACACATACCCCGCCCCTCCACTCTCTCACACTTTCTGCTCACACCCCGCCCCCTTCGAGCCCCAGACCCGGGCGGCGCCCCCCGCAACCTTAAAAAAAAAAAAAAAAGCAAGCTTATACTTAAAAAAATCTTTTGGCGCCATATTAATGACGTACTTAAAATTTGCCATTTCTCCCTGCGTCAAAAAGACGTTTCTTTGCAAATAACAGCCTGAAGGCGACACTCGCGGAGGGAACGAGGTTTGCACCGAGCACCCCGCCTCCCGGGGCTCCAGCGCTGGAAGACCCTCGCCCTAGGCCCTGCTCCCGAATCGCTGGTTTAAAAATGCGAACCGAATAAATCGCGTGGCGCTCTGCAGCGCCAGAAGTGAGCAGAAAGTGCTGGCAGGAGCGGAGGGGAGGGGCACGCGCGCGAGTCTGGGGGAGGGGGCGCGTCCCTTCTCCCCCACCCACAGCAGATGGAAACTAACATCCCGGGCGGGGGAAACTTGAAATTGCCGGCGACCTCAGGAAGGAGGGGCCGTCCGTGGAGAGGGTCCCTCTCGGGTTCGTTGCCCCCCTCCCCCGTTCGGGTGCCTACAGGCTCCCAGCTCTGCCCCGCATTTCCGGGGGGTGGGGAACGCAGTGATGGGTGGGTGGGTAGCTGCAAGTCTTGGCCCCAGTAGGAGTTTGCCCCGAGGTGTTCCCTTCCCCCCTAGCTCGTCCTTCGCATTCCCCCTAAAGGGTTAAAAACCGAGGGGGCTACTTCCAAGGGCTGGCACTTGGCGAGGAAGCGGGGCGCCCCTCTCCCCACCCTTCGCCTCCTCGCCCCTCCTCCTCCGGCTCCACTTCCCGACTTGACCTTGTGGTGCACAAACAGTGCGCTCGGATCCTCGCAGTTTCTGGAAGAAGCGCTTGCGCTCGCCAGGCAGGCGGGCTGTCGGGCGGCTCGCGGGCGGTGGCGGGGCCTTGGGTCGGTTCCCAGAGCCGCGGGCCACACCCACCCAACCCGCTGCGCCCGCGGTGCTCACCTTCTCTCGAGGAAGGAGCTGCGCTAGCCTCCTGGATGGGGAGGTGTCGGGGGCAAGCTGCAGCCTTCTCCCAATGCTCCCAATTGGGGAGAGGGTGGTCTGGTCTCAGGCGGGGTTTGTTGGGGAGACCTGGGAACCTGGTTCAACATCCCCAAAGCATCGTTGCCAACTTTTCCTTCCCCCTCCCTTTTGGCTGCCCCTCAAAGATGATCCAATAATTTTTGCAACTCACCTTTGGCTTTGAAGGCACATGGGTGAGTTGTGAACTGGGACAGGAACCGCCTTCCCTCTCCGAGACTGAAGGTTGTTTATCCTTCCTTTCTTTCCCTTCCACCCCCTTCTATGGAAAGACAAATACTCAATTTACATAAGATGACATTTATGTGACACTTAAAAAGATTCCCCCATGGAATGTTGTGAACACATTTGCTTATAGGAGAAATAAATCTAATAATAAACTTCTAACAGCACAAATCCTCTGACGGGTTAAATGGTCTACACAACAAAGAGGAAGATGGTGAATGTGGAAATAAGCCCTTTCTGCAACAAGAAAGAAATATGAGCTCAAAGGGAGTCCCAGAAGCGTTTCTCTTCCTTGGCCTTCATTCACAAAGTCTGGGAAGGCTTGTTTGGCAAGACTGAGGAACTGGGGTACCACCTCCAGACCTGACTCTAGCTCTGAGTTGGTACGATTTTCCCAAGCCTAAACTCAGTGCCAGAAAACAGATGTCACAAGCTGTTAGCATGTAACAAAAATGGTCAAATACCTGGATTCAAATCCTGGCTTTGCAGTTGAGAAGCTACTTGATGTGGGCAAGCGCATTCATCTCTCTGGGTCTCTTTCTTCTATAGAATAGGATGGTTGGAGGGTTCCTGAAGCCGTGTGTATATATACATATATGTATATATGTTTGCATACATTCTATATGTGTAAAGCAGGGGCCTGGCTCAGAGTGCACAGTGCACATTAGCACTTTCCCTGGTGTTTGTGTTTTGGAAGGGTGGATATGCTCCCTGAAAGCTCTTAACACTGGAAATACTGGAGAACAATGATTTCTATCTTGTCCTCTATGATGACATATACAAGATCTCCCAGTTAGGGCAAAAAGAAGTAGAAGAGAAAAAACTGTGCTAGATGGTAGGCTTCATGGTCAAGGTCCAGATGGCAGTCTTAACCACACATCTGAAGTGGGAATGGAGGCACCAATTTACAGTGGCACAGTCCAAAGGAAGCACTCTGGGTCTAGATATGGCGGGTTTACATACAGGAAAGGACTGGACAGGCTCCTCCTCTTAGCCATCAAGATCCTGTGAGCCTTGGCAGGCAGTTATAAAATGACCTAGAGAGATGGAAGAGGGCGAAGATGACCATCTCCTGTGCTGTGCACTATGCCAGTCATCCCATTTCATCCTCAGAAAAATCCCATTTTATCTATTCAGAAAGGTTTCATGACTCACCAACAATCACACGAGCTAGGAAGTGGTGGCAGAGTTGGCACCTGGTTTGGGTGCCCCCAAGATTATGTGTTGTCCATTTTACCATGCTGCCAGAATTAAAAGGTATGAGAATTATTGGTTTGATTGGGGATGGGGGCCTGACTGCTGTAACACCAAGAAAGAATTTTATGGGTAGCACTTTGCCTCTAAGGTGGTTCCCTGAATTTGGGTGAGACACAGGTCCCCTAAGGAGTCCTTGGAAGGTACCTCTTGTTTAGGACTGGAAGCTCCATCAGAATCCTTGCATTCCTGCTGCTCTCTGCTACTGTTTAAGGTTAACCTTGATAATGTTTACAGAATAATAGGAAAGGAGATAATTATAACTCTTTAATCTTTAGTAAAAGTCTCACAAATCATGAACTTACTGCAGAAAAAAAAAGAGAAGAAACATAAAAGTTCTAGGAGATGTAATTATTCATTTTTTTTTTCCAACAAATGTTTACTGAGTGCCACCTGTATACCAGGTACCATTCTAGGGGCTGAGGACACAGCACAACAGTGGCAGACAAAAATGCCTACTCCCATGGAATTCACTTTCTAGTGGAAGGAGATGCACAATTTTTTTAAGTGAAATATTATATTTGAAGGTGAGTAAGTGCTGTTCAGAAAAATTAAGTAGGAAAGGGGGATAGGGAACGTGGGCATGCAATTTAAATAGAGTCCTCAGGGAAGAGCTGACTGAGAAGGTGGCTTTTGAATTAAAGGAGGTGAAGGAATGAGCTGTGAGGGCTTATGGGAGAAGAGCATTCTAAGGCACGGGATCTTAACATGGAGTCCGCAGACACTCTCCTCCAGAGATCTGTGTATAGAATTCACAGAGTCTTGACTTCAGATAGGGAAAAAATGTTATCTTTATTTTCACGAATTAACATTTGGCATGCTCTTCAATTATGAATGCAGACAGCAAATCACAGTGCTATTAGCAGCACCTGTGATGTTGTTGCTAGTAGAAATCAGATATTTTCATAGCACATTATAGTTGCTGCAAATATCTTAAAATATCATTACAGTTATCACTACTTCATAATTATGCTGCTAGCTCTTGTAATTTAATGAATTAATAAGAAACACATATATTACTCTATTACACATTTTAAAAATATTTTGAGAGTTGTATGTTAGCATAATTGGTTTTCTTTATAATTTATGAAACTTATTTTATGGATTTAAAGATACTGTAATCAGAAGGAATCCATGGGCATTACTAACTGCCATAGGGGTCCCTGGCACAAAGTAAAAGAAACCACTGTCTCCACCATTTGCGGTCTCCAGCAAATGCAGAGGTCCTGAGGTAGGAAGATGCTTATTGTGTACATGTAGAAGAAAGAAATGATATAGGCCATTGTTACGAATTTGGCTTTTGCTAGGAGTACTAAAGATGGTTTTGAGCTGAGGAGTGACATAATCTGACACTGGATTTTACAGGTTACTTTGCTGTCCTATGGAGGACAGACTGAAAGCGGAAAGGCTGAAGCTGGAAGACAGGTGAGGAGGTCACTGAAATAAACCAGGTAAGAGATGATGTTAAAGTACACTAGAGTGGTAGCAGGGGAAGTGGTCAAAGTCAATATATTTTATGAAGATAGCTTTGACAGGATTTGTTGATGAGGCATGAGAAAACAAGAATTCAAGGATGACTAGAGTTTTGTCTTGAACCAGTGGAAAAACAGAATTGCCATTACAAGATATGTGAAGACTATGGAAGGAGTAGATTCGGGGTAGGATAAGGAGCTCAGCATTAAGACATAGTAAGCTTAAGATACTTATTAGATGTCCAAGTGTAGCCGTCCTGTAGGCAGTTAGAAATGGTAGCCTCAGCTCAGAGGTAGGTTCGGGGCTGAAGGTATCTTTTGAGAAGGGTCAGCAGGTGGCTGGTATTTAAAGCTATAAGACTGTTTGAAATCACTAAGGAATTGAGTGTAGAAAGAGAAGTCCAAGGACAATGCCCTTGGCCACTACAAGGTTAAGAGGTCTGGAAGATGAAAAGGAATCAGTAAGATGTTGTTAAAAAAGAAATATTCAGACATTTCTCCAAAGAAGAAATATAAATGGCCAAAAAGCACATGAAAAGATGCTCAATGTTGCTCACCATTAGGGAAATACAGATCAAAGGTGCAATACGGTACCACCTCACATCCAATAGGATGGCTACTATTTAAAAAAAAAACAAAACAGAAAATAACACGGGTTGGCAAGGATGTGGAGAAATTAGAACACCTGTGCACTATCATTGAGAATATAAAATAGTACAGCCACTGTGGAAAACAGTATGGCCATTCCTCAGAAAATTAAAAATAGAATTACCACATGATCCAGCAATTCCATTTCTGGATATATATTCAAAAGAATTGAAAACAGGGTCTTGAAGAGATTTGTGTACTTGTGTTCATAATAGCATCATCCACGATAACTAAAATGTGGAAGCAAGCCAAGTGTCTGTTAATGGATAAATGGGTAAAGCAAAATGTGGTATATACGTAGAATGGAATATTATTCAGCCTTAAAAAGGAAGGAAATTCTGCAACATGCTACAACATGGATGCACCTTTAGGTCCTTATGCTAAGGGAAATAAGCCAGTCACAAAAAGATAAATACTGTATGATCCACTTATGCGAGATACCTAGAGTGATGAAATTCATAGAGACAGAAAGAACAGTGTTTGCCAGGGGCTGGAGCAGGGAGGGCAGATGGGGACTCATAGTTCAACAGGTACAGTTTCAGTTTTGCAAGATGAAAGAGTTCTGGAGATGGAGGGTGGTGACAGTTGCACAACAGTGTGAATGTACTTAATATCATTGAACTATACACTTAAAAATGATTAAGATAGTGGGGCGCCTGGGTGGCTCAGTCGGTTGAGCATCTGACTTCGGCTCAGGTCATGATCTCGCAGTGCGTGAGTTCGAGCCCCGCGTTGGGCTCTGTGCTGACAGCTCAGAGCCTGGAGCCTGCTTCAGATTCTGTGTCTCCCTCTCTCTCGGCCCCTTCCCCGCTCATGCTCTGTCTCTCTCTGTCTCTCAAAAATGAATAAACGTCAAAAAAAATTTTTTTTTAAATGATTAAGATAGTAAAATTTATGTTATGTGTATTTTATCACAATAAAAAAAATTGGGGGAGGGGTGCCTGGCTGGCTCAGTCAGTGGAGCATGGGACTCTTGTGTGTTTGAGCTCTACTGTTGGGTGTAGAGATTCCTTAAAAATAAAATATTTAAAAATAATAAAAATATTTTTTTTTAATTTGGGGAAAAAAGTAAAAAGAAAGCAGTGGCATCCAGAGAGATAGGAGGAGTGTCTTAGAAGACAAGATAAGAGTGTTTCAGGAGGGAGGAAAGCTCTATGTGCAAAGCTACCAAGAGGAATGAGGTTAGATACAGACTGACAATTGATCATTAGTTTCAGCCATGTTGAAGTCACTGGTGATACTGATAAGAGCCACATCAACACACTGGCGTAAGTGAAAGTTTGACTGAGTGGGTTCAAGAGAGAGTGGGAAAGTTTATAGTTGTTATACCTTTTTCCAAGATTCTACTTGAAAATGAGAAGTCCTCTGTATATGTATGTTTATAGAAATAGATAATCATGTATCTGTAGGAATTCAATTCAAATGATTTTTATTGAGAGTCTTCCAGGTACTAGGCATGTTTAATGGATTCTACAGATAACTGAGAGAAAGAAAACACATTAACTGCCTTCCAATATTTCACAAGAGTTCATAATCTAACAAACTTTGTGGACACAAAGTGATGTATATGGCTAAATACACACAGTCAGACCCAGCATCAATTTTTTCAGTGTATGCCTAAAACTGTGGATTCCACATTCATATGGTCTTAGGATAGAGTCCTGTCCCCACCATTCACCAGCTCTGTGACTTTGTACAACCTCTGTGTGCCTAAGTTTCCTCCTCTGTAATTAGGGATGCAGTAATTTCCAAACTTCAGTGTGCCTGGTATGCTTGTTAAAAATGGAGATTTCTGGGAGTGCCTGGCTGGCTCAGTCAGAAGAGTTTGCGACTCTGGATCTCAGGGTCATGAGTTCAAGTCCCATGTTGGGTGTAGAGATTACTTAAAGAAATAAAACTTAAATTTCTTTAAAGTTTTATTTATTTTATTTTTGAGACGGGCAGGGGGTGGGGCAGAGAGAGAGGGAGAGAAAGAATTCCAAGCAGGCTCTGTGGAACCTGACGCAGGGCTTCATCTCACAAACCATGAGATCATGACCTGAGCAGAAATCAAGAGTCTAGGGGCGCCTGGGTGGCGCAGTCGGTTAAGCGTCCGACTTCAGCCAGGTCACGATCTCGCGGTCCGGGACTTCGAGCCCCGCTTCAGGCTCTGGGCTGATGGCTCAGAGCCTGGAGCCTGTTTCCGATTCTGTGTCTCCCTCTCTCTCTGCCCCTCCCCCGTTCATGCTCTGTCTCTCTCTGTCCCAAAAATAAATAAATGTTGAAAAAAAAAATTAAAAAAAAAAATAGTCTAATGCTCAACTGACTGAGCCACCCAGGAGCCACTCCCCGCCAGCCCTCAAATTTTTTTGGCTCAGGTCATGATCTCTCAGTTCATGAGTTTGAGCCCCGCATCTGGCTCTCCGCTGTCAGTGTGGAGCCTGCTTTGGATCTTCTGTCCCCCTCTCTCTGCCCCTTTCCTGCTTGTGCTGTCTCTCTCTCTCTCTCTCGGTCTCAAAAATAAATAAACATAAATAAAATAAAATAATAAAATAAAAATAAAACATGAATTTCTAGGCTTTATCCCTAAAGATTCTCAACGGGCAGGTCTGGGGCAAGGCCCAAGGATATGCATTTTTTAATAAGTACCTGGTCATGCTTGATGCCTTTGGCCTTGAACCACACTTTGTAAGCATTGGCCTGGCACTCAGTAATTGCTCATCAGACAATAGCTGTTCTTCCGGGGGTCCCTACTGGGAACAAAAGTTCTAATCCCTTGTGATTTATATCCAGAACCAGAGGTCCAGCATACCCTAAGCACCCTAAATGTAGAAAAGAGCATGAGAATCATTCAACATTTATTTATTGAATGCTTACTCTGTTCTAACAGTGTTCAAGGGCTGGAGAGACAAACAGTATATGACTCAATAATTTGTTTGAGTCATCAGGATAGGCAGAAGCCCCACATGAAGTTAGCCACACTCTCCAGCAGCCAAACTGTATCAGGTGAGAAGTCCTATGTTCACTCACTAGCTGCTTAAGGCAGTACTTGTACAACAATAACATGAACATGAATCACCTGGGTTCCTGTTTACATGAAGGTTCTGATTCATTAGGTTTGGGGCAGGGCCTGAGAATCTGCATTTCTAACGGGCTGCTAGATGATTTGGATGGTGCCAGTCCATAGATGATACTTGATGTAGTAGAGTTAGGAAAACTGGATCACAATACTTGTCCTAACATTAGAGTTCCTAGAGACTTTCTGCAAATCCTAAAGGGACAAAATGAAATCTGGGAAGATCACACATGTGAGCTTTGCTCACCCTTTCTTCCATCTCCTCTGTTTCTGGAATCTGATCCTCACCCTCCCAAATATAGTCAGTGCTACTAGGTGACCTCCTCTAAGGGAGGGTGAACATTCATTCTCTTGGTCATTCAGTAAATATTTCCTGGCTGCCTACTCTGTGCCAAGCCCTATGCAAAGCGCATAACTTGGCATTCAAGAGAGGACAGATCCAGCAGCTCTGCCTCCTAGGCTCCAGGCAGGGGCTGCAGGTGGGGTTTGGGCAGATAGGAAAATTGCCCAGGGCAGCATCTGTGGCTTAAGACACTGCCCTGGCAAGAGCCAGCCTTGCTACTTTCTGTGGTGCTACAAACACATGCCTGGGAGAAGCACCCCTCTGGAGCCTTTGCCAGCTGGTTTAGAGATGGTACTGACCAGCCGTAGGAGATGTCTGGATGATGTGCCAGCCTGGCCACCTGTCTCTTCTCAGACTCTCAGACACAGCCCAGTGGCCACAGATGGCAGAAGGCAAAGAAGATCCCTGGGGCTTCTAAACACTTCCCCAGAAACTGGCAGCAGGCAGTAACTCCGGCCAAGTCAGGGGCCAGCTTGACCAGACACTCATCAAAGTGTGAGACTCCCCGCGTGGAGCTGAGGGACCCAGCTCTGTCCAAGAACCATCAAGAACCAAAGGCGCTGGCTCCAAGTCAAGTTGAACAGGGAAAGCAAAACCCTTTCCTTTTCCCCTAGGGTTTCTTCCTTCCTTCCTTCCTTCCTTCCTTCCTTCCTTCCTTCCTTCCTTCCTTCCTTCCTTCCTTCCTT